AGTGAGTTTGATAGGGGCCGTATAGTGGGACTTCGGGAAGCTGGACTTTCTTTTCGGGCAATTGCACTTAGAGTGCAAAGAAGTGTAGACACTGTGGTCAGGTGTAGTCAGGCATGGCTTCGAGAAGCCCGTACGCAAAGAGCAAGGGGCACTGGTCGCCGCCGTAGAACAACAGACCGTGAAGATCGCCGCCTAAGATTATTGGCCTTAGGGGACCGTTTCTCCACTACCAGGTCCATTGCAAATGAATGGTTTACAGAACACGGAAGACCTATTGGCATGCGAAGTGTTTACCGACGAATGAGAACTCTTGGCTTGTTTTCATACCGGCCACACTGGGTCCTCCCTTTAACTCGAGAACACCGACGTAATCGCCTTGAGTGGTGCAGACAACGGTCACTCTGGGATCAGGAATGGAACAGTATTGTCTTTAGTGACGAGTCTCGATTTTGTTTAGGCATGCACGATGGTCGTGCCAGGGTTAGAAGGCAACGTGGTGAAAGGAGGAATCCACAGTTTTTTGTTGAAAGACATGTTCATCACACAGCTGGAGTTATGGTTTGGGGTGCTATAACTTATGGTTCCAGGTCACCCTTAATGTTCATCAGAGGTAACATGAACGCGCAGCGTTATATCCACGCAGTTCTAGAACCCCATCTTTTACCCTATCTTGATACCCTGGCAGATCCAACTTTCCAACAAGATAATGACGGCCACATGTTGCAAGAGTCTCAATAGACTTCTTTCAACATAATGATGTCACATTGATACCATGGCCACCAAGATCTCCCGACTTATCCCCAATTGAGCACGTGTGGGATATGATGGGTAGGAGATTGCTCAATTTGCAACGTCCTCCTCAGACTCTAGAAGCACTTCGAGAGGAGTTGGTGGTTGCCTGGAATGAGATACCTCAGGAGGACTTTGACCACCTGATCAGAAGCATGCCTAGGCGCGTTGGAGAATGCGTAGCACATCAGGGTGCATCCACACATTATTAGAGGTTAAAGGGCTTTAAAGCAGCGCAATCATTTTGAAATTTTTATCATTTACTTATTATACTTGATTAAGTACTATATGTCACTAAGTATACTTACTTGTCATATTTCTCGTGTCGAGTTGTAAAATAGTCGATAAGACTAACCTTTACCCTTTTGTAACTATATTCTCAGATACGTTATTATTGTTATAAACTATCACTATTAGCAGCAAATAGTGCAATTTGCAGTCATTTGCGATATATACTAAGTGACATACAAATCCGAACACCCAGTTTAAATGGTTTTATTCTAATAAAATTTTGTATAAGTACCTAATGAAGCATAATAAGTAAATGATAAAAATTTCAAAATGATTGCACTGCTTTGAAGCCCTTTGACCTTTATTAATGTGTGGATGCACCCTGATGTGCTACGCATCCTCCAACGCGCCTAGACATGCTTCTGATCAGGTGGTCAATGTCCTCCTGTGGTATCTCATTCCAGGCAACCACCAACTCCTCTCGAAGTCTTTCAACAAAAAACTGTGGATTCCTCCTTTCACCACGTCACCTTCTAACCCTGGCACGACCATCGTGCATGCCTAAACAAAATCGAGACTCGTCACTAAAGACAATACTGTTCCATTCCTGATCCCAGAGTGACCGTTGTCAGCACCACTCAAGGCGATTACGTCGGTGTTCTCGAGTTAAAGGGAGGACCCAGTGTGGCCGATATGAAAACAAGCCAAAACTTCTCATTCGTCGGTAAACACTTCGCATGCCAATAGGCCATACGTGTTCTGCAAACCATTCATTTGCAATGGACCTGGTAGTGAAGAAACGCTCCCTTAAGGCCAATAATCTTAGGCGGCAATCTTCACGGTCTGTTGTTCTACGACGGAGTCCAGTGCCCCTTGCTCTTTGCGTACGGCCTTCTCGAAGCCATGCCTGACAACACCTAACCACAGTGTCTACACTTCTTTGCACTCTAACTGCAATTGCCCGAAAAGAAAGTCCAGCTTCTCGAAGTCCCACTATACGACCCCTATCAAACTCACTAAGTTGACGAAATCGTACAGGTCTCCGTACTCTAGGCATCGTAACCGATCGTAAAGGATGTCAAGAACCAAAATCTGCCAACGTTGATTCTTTACTGCGGCTGAAATATTCATTTTTAGAGCGTTAGTGAATTAAAAAAAAGCAGTATAAAAACCGGAATGTCCAACTGATAAGGCTGAAAATTTTGTCACTTGTTATTTACAGTAAGATAAGTCATTCACCAACTTTTATTAAAATAAAACCATTTAAACTGGGTGTTCGGATTTATATGTCACTTAGTATACACTCTATCTGTCGTTTATCGAATGAATTAAATTATCCTCCTGCCACCCTCCTGCAACTCGAAGAGTACTAGTCGATGATGGAAAAGCTTAGCAGGTCCTGAGGATTAGTCAGAAATGGTGTTACCATCTTAAAACCAGTACGGTTTGATTCGTACGTAACTCTAAACATATTGATGAATGTTTAATCAAAACTCAACATAAGGGTACATACTGCTGTGGGAAAAATTAAAATTGGACTATTGTCAACGCAGTTATAAATGGAAAAAGCAAAGGAATCTTCAATATGAAAAATCACCTGAGTTACACTTTTCTAAAACTCTCTTTTTTTGCTTGTGACACTCAGGTAGGTGCGTGTTTTAGGTTTCTGTACAAATGAATCACAGGAGTAAGCTTTGGACGCCTTTTTCTTGATTCCGTGTTATGTACTTCTGTTTCGAATAATAGCGCGTAACGCACATTGCAAAAATGAGTCACAGTACTAAGTCAACATGTCTCGCACAGCTTCTGGAGCTTTTGCTATTATTATTATTATAATTACTAACAAACTAGGAGTGTTATTCGACTTTTTAATCCTTTGACACTAAATGCTATATTAAGCCCAAAAAAATTCTTTAAAACCGGTTTCTTTGTTAGTGACACAGTTTTTATTCACTCCTGGAAAATTCAAATTGTGTGACAAGGCGTGAGGCAAATAATTTTGCAGAATTCCTATCTACCACAACGCTGTTCGAGCCTCTCATATATTTTTGTCATGCCACACTTTGTTGCGTATGCACACATTTCCAGAAAATATAATACTAGATCTGCATTTTGATGTTCCTCAGATCTCTGAGCGCTTTGAGCCGTAGTTAATCTTCAGGAAGCATACATATTTTGAATCAGGCATCAATCGTTGAAAATGTCATTGCTCTAAGCACATGAACTTCGACCGACATTGTATATGGTTATCAAACACGCGTCATGGCTCACTCGATACAAAATATTGCACCAATACAGTACTATAGCGGAACCGCGATGTGGTTGATATCAAGGTAGTTAATGTATATAACACTGCCATTTCTATTGAAAGCACTTAATGACCTGTAATCGTGTTAGCAGCAATTGCTTTGATGTGAATTGTTTTGGCTTGCTTTCTGCTCTGTTCGACTGGACCTTCCATGAACAATACAGCAAATAATATATTTCCATGTTCTGCAAATCAAATGTCTCGTGAGCATAACTGCTTAGTTTTAACCGACGTCGAGGAAAGACGAGTCTTACAAGTTTAACGTGTATACAGGGTGTTCCAAGGGCCATGGATCAGACTGCATGAGAATATAGGGGGATTCATTTAAAATCAGCAAAACTATATCCACACAAAAGTCCCTGAATGGCTCTGTATTTTCTCGGGTAAAGCAATGTTGGAAAAAATCAAGGTTAGATATTCAGTAGCTTTTGGCAAGGGATTCATCGGTAACCTTGAACTTCACTTTGGCGAGTAATTTTGGAGTTGACCTTGAACCTTACCTTCAACGCCATTTTTTAATAGGAACTGGCAGGAGCAATATCGGTTGAAAATCATTTGTAACGAGCACCGTAGTTCCCTGGCAAAACTTATCTAAAGATCTGACATTGCCGTCACTATTCGTGTGAGATTTCTAGAAGTTTTCCCAGCAGCACACATTTGGCCTTTAGGTGACCTCTAATGGTTATCAAGGTGGATTCTATTTCACATTTTGTTTTATATTTCATATTTGAACATACAATTTCCGGTTCTCTGGATTGTCGGTATCGAATAGGCGAAAAAATGAAGTTGATTTTGTAGTGAACATGAAGGTGAGGTTCAAGGTCAAATCCAAGATCACCTTACCAGTTATTTTCATCACGATCTCTGCGAAATATTTACAGCAACACATATTTGACTCCCATGTAACCTATTCGACCTCAAGCGGTCATCCTGGTCTTTTTTTCTTTTTGGCTTTAGGACTAAGCCATGCAGCCAGAAACTAGGTTGGTATATAGAATATATCTAATTATGAACAAACACACGACGTCACAACATCCATGGCGAAGGCGAGATTCGAACTCGCGACCCGGTCGGCCGGCTGGTCAGTAGCACGACACTGACCCACGCGGCCAACCGAGGTCCCCATCCTGGTCTTGAATTTTAATAAACATCCGAATGTAAAATTTTCCAAATAGGGCTTTCCATTAAAAAAAGTAAACCGGCTTTGAAATAATCTTGAAGGTGAAGGTCAAGGTCAAATCGAAAGTCAGCGTTCACTTTATAGTTGATAATTATTTTCATCACATTAACTCTGGGGTTTTTAGAGGTTTTTGTAGCAGCACATATTTGATCTCCACTTAACCTTTAGTAGTCATCCTCACCTTGGATTTTAATTGTTTTTGAAGGCAGAATTTTCTAGTATTTTGATACTCGGTTTCAAAAATAGAACCTTGAAGGAGCAGGTCAAGGTTAAACTCAAGGTCACCATTGAAGTCCTTGCTGAAGGTACTGTGACCTTGATCTTTTTCAAGGGTACCTTATCCGAGAAAATACAGAGCCGTTCACGATTTTTCAGTGATCCTTATTTTAAAAAATTGTAAAAAATCTCAACTTTTGAGATATCAGTTTATTTTAATATGGATTAATATTATTTTTTGTCGGCTTGAGTTAGAAAGTATTTTTTAAATTAGGATTAGAAATACTGTTGTATTGTCTCTTCGCGGCTTTCTGACTGGAAACAAAAGCAAAGCATTTTAATTAACCAGCGTGCACCTGCGTCAAAACGCGCACTCAGATTTCCAGTCGCTTTGTTCCAGGAGCAAGATTTCATTAGTCCACGGTGGAAAATAGAAACGAACAGCGGGAACGAAACCGATTTCCGCACCACTCGATGCACGAACACAACTCAGCCATTAATTTTTCCTTTGTGCCAGGCAATCCTGTATTTACGTCACCTTTGAGGGCTATTGAGAACCACAGAGTACGTAGAATTACGCACTGCACACTGAAAATGGTACGGCTGCTGGCGTAGAAACAGTTTATGCCTATATTTCAGGTCAGAAAAATTAGTAATAGGTTGTGGTTTGTTCGTACCGACTGTTTGCTGACAATCTGCAAACTGATAGTCAGTGACAAGTCATGACCTAGTTTACGCAGTTAGCTGTCACTGACACGTTGCTGACTTTATTAATTGCGTACAGCACTAAAAGGTCAAGTAGGTTTACTCAGTAATTACCATTCAAATCTCATATATAAAGTATAAACATAAATTATGCATGAGAAATGTATAAAGTAATGTGAATGACTTTAAATAAAACTCGGATAGCAGGGATTTTGTTCCCTGTTCCCTTGTCGCCCAGCCTCGAAGTGTATGTACAAACAGTATTTATATATTCTAGCTATGTAAGTCCAACCCTAAGCTGATGAAAAAACAACAACAAAATAGCGAATTCTGGAGATTTTGTGATACAGCTTTTTCTCACAGGTGCCCACGGAGAGGGAGTGACTGTTTATGCTGGGGTAAAAATAAAATTTCCCCGATACAGGTTATCTTAAATTCAACCCTCACTATTGGGATCTCGGAAACTTCAAGGGATACGAAGCCACATAAGTAGCTGCAAAGTTACGTATTCGGATAATCAGCAAAATGTCGCTCAGAAGGTTTTGAAATTAAAAGCACTTCCGGAAAGAGACGTAAAAAACGAAATTTCCCAAAATGGTTTTAATTTGTGATGGGATTTCAAATAAATTGCACATAAACTCTGCCACATTTTCTCCTCTACAAGACGGCACAATTAGAAATTCAATGTGACGTTTCGTCCCTTGTGAATAGAATTTTTATTCTGATTTAAAAAATGTATGTCATCCATTGACATTGCAAAAACTTAGTTATTCCAGAAGTTCCTATATACGCCTTGAAATTATTAGATTTCATTTGTTGGCATAGCAACAGAGTTTGGAAGACTGTGAATATTTCTGCTTATTTATGGTTATTGTTGTTATTACCATCAATAAAATTTTCATTCAGTACTCAGGTTTCTCCATATCTTTTTGTTTCCTTTTAATTTTCATCCAACACCATATTTAAGGTCATGGAACAATCACTGAATTTAGGGCTTAAAAATTCCATTTAAAGGTACAAAATTCAATATAGTATCAGCAAGAAAAAACAAAACTGATGATGGAAGTCGAAAGAAGAAATGTCGAATTGGAAATTTGACTACTCCATCTTGTAGACGAGAATAAGTAATAATGACAAATTGCAATTTATTTTGAAATTCCATCTCGAATAGAGTCGGGAAAAAATAGAGCGGTTTTGGGATAAATCTGGTGAGTGAAACAAACATCTGATAAATTCAAGGCCTACCTAAGAAATTCTGTTTTTCTTAAAGTAATCAAGGCCTGATAGCGTCAATGTATGTCGTATTATGCATTTTTTGAATCAAAATTGAAATATTGGGTTGTCGGAAAAGTCATGACGTATATGCAACAAAGTATGCAATTGCATGGTTGGAAGTACGTGAGTCAATGACATTTGTATGTTGATTGTGTAGTTTGACAGTTGACACTTCAAGCTTCATTTGCACCAAAAAATTAAGTGATTTATTTGAGTCTCGTCGATTTTGGAGGACGTTGAAGATGGACGACCAAACTGTGCATTTTCGTCACATTTTGCTGTATTACTTCCGCAAAGGCAAGAACGCAAGACAAGCGTGTGAAAAGTTGAGAAAGGTTTATGGAGAACATGCACTACAAGAACGGCAATGCCAGAGATGGTTTAAAAAATTCCGAGATGGGGATTTTGATATCCATGACGCACCTCGATCAGGGCGGCCTACTGAGTTGGATAGTGACGAATTAAAGGCATGGGTAGGAGCAAACCCACATTACACCACACGGGAAATTGCAGAAACCTTAAAAATCCATCATTCAACCGTTCACGACCATTTGAAGAAACTGGGATACGTAAGCAAACTCGATCGTTGGGTACCACACGAACTGAGAGAGGTTCATTTGACGGCGCGTGTAGACATCTGCGATATGCTCCTTAAACGTGAGGAAAACGATCCTTTCTTAAAGCGCTTGATAACGGGAGATGAAAAGTGGATTGTTTACAACAATGTGGTTCGCAAACGGTCTTGGTCCCGAAGTGTAGATACGCGTAACACGATCGCGAAAGCAGAGAGTCATCAGGAAAAGGTGATGCTCTCTGTTTGGTGGGATTTTAAAGGGATCGTGTTTTTCGAACTCCTGCCAAAGAACCAAACCATCGATACAACTGTGTATTGTCGGCAATTGGACAGTTTGCAACAATCCATCATGCAAAAACGTCCGAAGCTCATTAATCGCAAAGGAGTTGTGTTCCACCATGACAATGCGAGACCGCACACAAGTTTGCTCACTCGTCAAAAGTTATTGGAGTTAGGATGGGATGTGTTACCACATCCAGCATACTCGCCTGATCTTGCCCCATCTGATTTTCATTTGTTTCGGTCGCTTCAAAATTAGTTGCGAGAAATACGCTTTACTTCAGATGAAGCTGTACATCAGCACCTTGTTCAATTTTTTGCCGGTAAAGACAAATCCTTCTACGAGCGAGGAATTATGAAGCTGCCTGAAAGATGGCGAAAGGTCATCGATCAAAATGGGCAATACATTATTGATTGAAGTTTGTGGTGTATATGAATAAAATGGCCTTAAAATAAACAAAAAAAAGCGTCATGACTTTTCCGACAACCAATAATAAAGTTTATGCTCGAGGACAAGAGACGAACCGTCATATAGAAATTCTGATTATGCCCTCTTGTAGAGGAGAAAACGTGGCACTTAATGTGCAATTGATTTTAAAATCCCAATATAAATAAAGTCAGGAAAAGATCAGAACAATTTTGGGAAAATTCAGTTTTTCCGTTACTTTACGGAAAAACTTTGAATTTCGAAACCTTCTAAGTGTCACTTTGTTGACTACCCCTCTTACTAGAAGAAAGAAGTGAAAATGCTACAAGGATTTAATATCGTCTTTGAAAAATAAAGGGTGTTATACACTAAAAAGCTAAAACGGCTGAACATAACTACAATTATGAAGATCTGCTGACATAGCTATAAGTTTCACATAGCTCTCAACATGGACAATAAGAACTGAGACTACGAAAATACATAGAAGTAAGACTTATATCGCGTAATTACGCATTTTGCAACTGTAACAAAAATTTTCAAAAGACTAGTGATTATAAAAATCGTATTAATTATGGTTCTTGAAAGTTATGTCCTCTATTCTTTGCATTTTTCATACCGTATTCGTAATCTTCATTTTGCCATTACCGGGTCAATAAACCAAATATTGAGCACAAAGTACTTTGGCGCTGGCTGATATTTAAAATGGAATTTCATTAAAATTTCTTCTGCCACTTGCTCACCTGAAAACGTTACAAAAGCTTGTTTCTGTTGAATTGTGGCACTGTTTTCTCTACAAAATTAAGGTTTTTGGGTTTAACTTTTTTTACACCGAAGCAGCCGCGCAGGTGAACCCTACATGCCAAGCCACCGCGGCTGCTTTCAGGAACTTGAAGAAACCTTTTTATTCCCATTTTTAAACTGCCTAAAAATAGTATAATTGAGAAAATCTCCTCATGTAGATTGTTATACGATCTCGACACCCTCGGGTCAAAGGAGCGGTCTTATCGGCCAGTTCGACACGCTTACGATGGGAGGCCGAAGTCAGGTAGGCACATCGCGGGGCGACACCATGGAAGAGAGCTCTGAGGGGCAAAGCCCGTTGGCGTAGCTATACCGTCCATTAGAGAAAAGTTCATTAAATGCATCTTGCGAAGCAATTTTAGCCCTAAAGATAGTAACATTTGTCTGATTCTGATTTTGACAGTCACCGACAAGTTACCGACTACTGTACGAAGAATCCAATGTCTAATCATATTAGCTGAAAATATCCCTGGATTGCAAAATAATTATAAAGTTTGGTTTTACCACTGCAAGTTGTGCTAGGGGGTATTCAGAACATTGACGCGTAAAATGGGTACACCAGTTGTTGTGGGAAAACTTTCTATTCGACAACAAAAAATGAGAATGAGAAAACTTGTTTTTTGGGATTCAGTCGAAACAATGACATGACCGCAAAACTGCTTATATAAGATGAGGCCTACAAAATGAGACTACACTTAAAAAGATCCAACAAATAACAAAAAAGTTATAGCCGAAAACCGAGGCAAACTGCGGGCTTTGGCACTTGTTAGTAATGCGACGATGGTTTCTCGCAGATATTTGAAATTTTTCAAGTTCGTAGGACACGTACTTCTAAATAACCACATCAAAATTGAAGTAGATTGGTCAAGTAGTTTTTGAGAATTTCTAATTGTTTACCGCTGTGACTAATATATGTGATGTTTGTGATTCTTCTATATATTGAAATTTTTACTCAACATGTACGTAAGTGGTTCTCAAATATACTTTTTTACATTTTCTATATCATCGACTAAATTATTATTATTATTATAATACTAGGAACAAAAATAAATCAATCATCTGAAATATTTCGCACTCCAAATACATCACCGCTTAGAAGGTGAGAAGGAGTTTTGTTTTATTTGTTACTCTGAAATTGGACATTTTTATTGATATAAAGAAAGCTCAGGAAGTTTTCTATAGACATAATATTTATCTTAACATTCAGGTGATCAAAGGAGCAATATACCGGTGACCTCTAATGAGACCTACATAGAGACTTCAGAGATGAACACAAAAAATTATCAACAGTTGGGAGGTCCCCCCACTGGCAAAAACTCAGAGCTCCATCAAAATCCCAGCAGCAATTTTCAAGCTACTAGAATACCTGACGTCGCTCGAAACTTTTTCGGAGGAGTTATTTCAGATTCCCTAGTTCTGGCTCAACACATACTGTTTGGTGTACACTGAAACATTTTTATGCTGAACAATTATTTTCCGACCCTTCACTGACTGGCAGGCTACAATGTGCACAAAATCCACTCAGCATACAAATATTAGCGAGAGTGATTTTACTGCTCCGCAGGGGTATCACGTGAAATATCTATGATAATGTCATTAAAAATCGGTATAACGCCAACTTGTGTACTAAGTAGTAGCTAGTTCATTCATAAAACTTAATATTTTCTTTGCTTACTGAACGCCAGATACATTTTGCATTCGAGACTAGATATTCTACAGCTAAATCATTTTGAAACGCAGTTACTTCCATTTCTGTCGCAGCGACGTCTACGCTAAGATTCTGCGTAACAGAAGTTGCAAACTGTTTGATATCAATTTCCATGAAGGGTGAAACAACAAATTGCGCCACTAAAGCATTTTCGTTGAAATCCTTGAAACGATTTTTGAAGTTATCCTTTAAGCTAGAGACTATTTCTAGAGTATATTTACTATCATATGGTTCTAATGGTCGTTCAGGTATCTTTTCTGAGAGTACGGGAAGATGCCTGGTATCGACATCGATCAAGAATTGTTCCCAATACTCAAGTTTTTTGATAAACGCTTTTATATCAGATACCATTTCTACTATTTCTTTGCCTCTCCCTTGAAGCTGCAAATTGACATTTAATTGTTCTGTAATATCCACAAGACAACCAAAATCTCTAAGCCAGATTGAATTTTCCACTTCCGGAATCGGTTCATCACGTTGCTTGGAAAACTATGGCAGATATGATATCATTAAAAAGTTTCAGCACTCGTCCTTTACTTAACCATCGGACTTCGGAGTGAAGAAGTTCTGCCCAGTAGTCTGTCCTTTTAGTGGAATAAACTTCAAAAGATCTTCCTTAATCGTAAAATCACTAAAAACCATCCTGACGAACACGGCTATCTGAGAGATGTTAACGACATCTGTGGATTCAATCAACTACAGTGAAAAATAAGTACAGTTGTTGAAGTCATTTCTTAACTGTAAAACTTTATCTTTGCTCATTATTTCTACTCGTCTCATCACTGTCTTAGCAGAAAGTTGCACAGATTTTATATCAGACACCATCTCGTCTTTATTTATAAAGTTGGCAAATAATGAATCTGCAGCTTCTAAAAACGCCTGTTTTGTCATGTACCCGTCTTTATAAGGCTTCTTCTTTTGTGCAATTATCTGGGACACCCGGTATGATGCTTCAGTTGCAGCCTAACTTTTGTTGATTGTTTTCAAAGACATTGTCTGATTTTTAGATGTTTCAATTTTTCCGTTCTGGCTGCAGAACGTAATGGGAATGATTTTTCAAAATTCGAATGTACAGTTTTGTACTGCCTTCCGATATTCCCTCTTTTAGCAACGGAGGTAGATTTATTACATAACAAACGTAAATTTTTAACTTTAACTTCTGTAAAGAAATATTGTTATTTCCATTCCGAATGGTAATGGTATGTCTTCTTACTACTGCTCATAATGTTTTTAATTGCAGGCCAACTCTAACCCAATCGCTGGACTTTGTGCCGTTCAGTTTTAAGCTGAGAGCACTGTCGCCGCGCCTCGTATTTATTCCATTCAAAGCAATCAAGATCGTTCCCGAACAGATCGCTCACCGCAGTGTTGCCGCTGCTTGTGTTTATTATGAGAATTTACAAAATTAATAATACGGGAGCTTCTATGATTCTTACACCTTTCTGAAATATGTTGTGAGCCACCAGAATTGCCTTTGCGAGCTACCGGTAGCTCGCGAGCGACGGGTTGGGGACCACTGCCATAGAGACTATGAATAGCCCTGACAACTCTCATATTTATGTGAAGCGGATGCTACATCATATCAGAGTGAAAACATATAGCTAAAGTCTCAAGACGTTTAGGCAACACGCACGGCTACTACAAGTGACATTTAATTGGAACAACCTACATAATGTCGTTGAAAATGTCACCTTTTAAGTTACGTCACATAGGGCTATAGTAAAATGTAATTACTGTGAATTTGCCTAGAATTCTAGAATATGCTGTTCCACTGGAAGTGACAGTTCATGACTGTCAGAGATTCTCTGCTGGACAGAACCGTGTTGAAATGTGTTTTCCATACATCGAGTTCTAGAACTATACAGTTTGTCATAATAAACCCCTTGTTTTCCATTCAAATCCGGGAGATAGGGAACAACAACTAGAAAGTTAGCATATATCTGGAGTTGCATTCTAATCCCTAATGGATGGCTCATGCGGAAGATAAAGTAGGGGCGAAACTTTGTATCCGCGAAGTGGGGCAGGCAGGATAAAAACAGAGAAATTGAGAAGTGATGGAAGCACAAAGGAGATAAATTGAGTGCGATTATTCTGAAGATAAATAAAGTACGACACTTTTATGGATTTTAAATAATGTTATCTATATAGCTCTTGATATTATTGAATATATGAATACATGCACCTAATAATATTGACAATGACATTGTGCCGCTTACCACTTTTTTTATTGTATTTGTTAAAAAATTGCATTTTGTTAGGTAAGTATCGAAAAATCACTGTTACTTGTTATATAATAGATATTAAAAAGTGTCTCATCGAGTACAATAAAACTTGGGATTAGCCTTTGCAATATTCTAGCACGCAAAAATATTGCTCACTCATGATACTACGATTTGACAATGATGTTTCTTCTATATTTGGTGAAAGTTACACTGTTCTTGCGTTATGATGGCCCTGGGTGGACGTCACTCTGCCAATGATTTTCTTTATCTTCTTTCCAAAATTTATAATTAAATAAAATCACTATTGTTCATTATTCAGATATGAACTAGAGAGCTGTACATCGTGTCCCACGTAGAACTGAAGCCATCGAAAAGTTGAGTTTAAATTACTATGAAAAATTGAGGTTATGGTACAACCGATGTGAGGAATTCGGATGGAATATTTCAAAATTGGTGGCAACTCCAGTTGCACCGGAAGTAGATACCAACTTGTTTATTTAAAATGAAGGATCTTCTATACAGGGTGTTAGGGAAATAATATTCGTAACTTTAAGAGGTGATTCCTTGCATTATTCTAAGCGAAAAAGTTAAATATAACTTATGTCCGAAAATCAATCGATATCGAGGGAAGTGAGTCATAAATAATTAAATTTTCTCAAACATTTGGCACACTGCAACGCAGCCCAAGAAAATCCTCATACCATTGGTGAAGGTCATTTCCAAGAAAGTTTTAAAATAAATATTTGGGCGGGTATTCTTGACGATCAGATAATTGGCCCTTTCGAGTTACCCCCAAAGTTGGCAGGAGAAGGATACCTTAGCTTTCTAGCCGATAACCTACCAGAACTTTTGGAACAGACCTTAGACAACATGCCATTACAACGGAGACAGAATTTGTGGTTTCTTCATGACGGGGCACCACCACACATTTTTAGAGACGTCATTCAGTATTTGAATGAACATTATCCAAATCGCTGCATCGGTCGAAATGCTCCTGATGCTCGAAAATGGCCAGCAAGATCTCTTGACCTCAATCCGTTGGATTTCTGGTATTGGGGAGATCTTAAAGGGATGGTTTATGGGGCTGGTCCAATATTAACTGAAACACAACTTCACGAAAACAGTTTTAATGCTGCTGAAATAAGAAATGGACAACTTCGAGGACCTAGAGTAAGAAGAAACTGGGTTCGTCGTAATGAAGCTTGTGTGGAAAGTGAAGGACGACATTTTGAACGCCTTCTTTAAATACAAAAAGGTGCAGTGTGGGTTTTAAAAACAAAAACAATGTATGTATAATAATAAACTTTCACACACCAGGTGAAGCGCTGAGACAGTTAGTGGTAAGTCCGTTTTTTTAATTGTTTGCATTTTACGAGTGTATTATCAAATAATGAAATAATACCGAAGAGTCAAAAATAGCAAACTCTATCTTTATTTACACTGTGTTCCATCGTTATTTGCGTCTGGCATTGAGGCATCAGATTTTATTTTACTTTAAAGTCGCTTTTCTTTAAAAAAAATGCCGTTTCGACCCCCATGTTATATGAAACTTTTAGCCTCTATCACCCATTTAAGTGATGACTATCATAACGTTTACACCCTGTATATGAACGTTGGAGGTTTTCTATTACTACATTAATTTTAAATTTCTTTCATACGTATTATGTTTGCAATGTGATGTCGATTTTTTTTAATTATACATTTTTTGGTTTAAATTTTGAATTTTGCTTTATTTGAAATATGTCTTATATAATTTGGTAATATGTTATATAATCTACTGGAAAGGTAGGCATGACATCTGTGGCCTATACTTTGTGAGCTGTAAGGTGTTTACTTAATGTTGTTAATTTTGTTTCTAGTTTGATATAAGTAATCGAACGGAATAAGATTATTTCTATGGCGGAATTGATCATTTATAATTTTATAAAAAAATTGTTGCCTAGGGTCTAATAGTTTTACTTCAGAATACAACTGATCAGATGAATATAAGAGTGTCTCGTCAAAGAATATTTTTTAAAATTGTTATTGGATAATTTCTAATTTAATTTGGTTATTAAGTGCTTCACCCAACCTAATATTGCGTAACATATACGACTTTCGATCATAGCATTATATAAAATTTTCATTGCTTTTTCATCCAAATATTTGTTTAGATACTTGAATTTAAACAATAATGGTCTCAAATTGGTCATTACATGATCAATATGTATATTCCACTTTAAATGTGAGTCTAAATATACACCTAAATATTTCATTTTGTTTATTAAATTCATTTGAGTATTTATATTATCACAGTTAATCTGTATAGATATAAATGATTGTAATTTGTTTCTGTGATTTGTGAATGGCACGAACATAGTCTTTTGAGAGTTAATAGTTAGGCATTTATGTCTGAACCAGTCTGCAATTAGTGTTAAGCCTCTTTCAACCTTCACTTTTAGATCACTGAATAATAATATGTGATTTCAATTCGGGTAAGCATTACTTGCATTAACGTATGCAAGAAACTATCAAATAATTTCTTCCCGACGTAGGTATTTATTTTGTGCCTACTGACACGATGTCGTTCGCGATGATACATGCAGTGCAAGCGGAGTACGACATTGCCAGTTGTGTAAGGGATTTTGTTTGTTTGTTTTTCTTCGGAAAATTTCATTTAATAAACAAGAGAATTATTTTGTTAGAAACAGTCAATTAATAAATAGATGTATTGATACATTTTACGGTATTAGACATATGAATTTAGATTATTAAGGTCTACAATTAATTTTTTTCATGACTAAAAATAAATAAGTGCAGCATTTTTTTGCTCGGAAACGGTCGATTTTCGGACATAGGTTATAATAAAATTTTTTGCTTAGAATAATGCAAGGAATCACCTCTTACGTTACGAATATTATTTCCCTAACACCGTGTATAATCCAATTTTTGAAATCTACGCAACACTTCAAATACATTTTATGTATAAAATCAAATACCTCCCTCTAACCGTTTCTAAGAAATACCAAATTTGTTGTAAAAAGTCACAGATCGATAAAATCCCCTGAATATTTCGTATATTTTCGTTTTTGTTGAACGTTCTGTATCTGCTTCCTTATAGAAGGAGGTCTACTTATAAACTGCATTTGATATTTTCATAATTAATAATACTGGGTACTC